GAAGTGGCGATGGAGCGAAGTGGGGATGGAGCGAAGTGGCGATGGGGCGAAGTGGGGATGGGGCAAAGTGGCGATGGGGTGAAGTAGGGATGGGGCGAAGTGGGGATCGGGCGAAGTGGGGATGGGACGAAGTGGGGATGGGACGAAGTGGGGATGGGGTGAAGTGGGGATGGGTAATACATGTATGTACATGTATTACCCACATGCAAATGTAACTATCACTTGGAATTTCAGTCCTTACAAGTTTTTGTTGGCATCTCAAACAAGTTTTAATTATCGATACCTGTGGATCCACATCACCACACGTGACTGACCTAATCCATTGTCAAAGGGCTAGAGCGGTTCACTGCTTCACACAGACGCTAGCTTGCGCCAATCAAAAGATTAATTCTAAGACGTCAGCATTCATTTGCTCCAGATCGCTACCCTCTGTCATTGAGAAGGCCAAGCATACTATGCCATTTGCATGGGTCTGTTAAACCTTTCAGAGGGTACTGCAAATGATGAAAGACCCAACTTTTACAGAAAGACTTACATCCTTTGCAAAGAGGTTCCTGTTTAGTTTTAGACTTTTGAACTTTGTTTTAACAGAATTAGTATATCAAAATAAGAAAATGAATTGAAACTGTCGTCTGCCAAAAAAGATTATCTAGAGATGTTGATCATGTGGTGTAATTCACTCATTGGTTTTTACCTTCATTACACATGCATGTAATTTTTGGTCTTCACTTTTATCAAGTTCAGTAATAAATGAAACTGGGGGGGGGAATATGATGCATCATCATTTCAAAGGAAGCCTTTATGGTTTAATACATCAAACTATCATGACTCGCAGTGCAAATCCAAATGCAGAAGTACACAGAATATATGTAACAGTTAGGAAATAAGACACAGTAGAAATACACACATTTAAAGCAATTCGAAATTACTAAATATATTAAACTTCGAATCATTTCATTTTAAAATAACTGATACCAATCCAATTATCAATGGACATATAAAAAGACTGGAAACTGATAAAAATTTCTTCAACTGATACCCTGAAAAGCAAAAGATTTCTGTCTTTTCCTTCAGCACTGATTTTTTTCAAAATGCAAACAGAAATTTTATGTTGACCCTGAGCTGAAGTCCAACGAAGATGCTATTCTTTATCGTGCACCACATTGTGGATGTTGCCGACATCATTGGGCATCTTGTGGGCAAAACTGTAAATTGGCGAAGGGACTGTACATGTACCTGACCATAGACCACCCAATGAAATAATTAATGATCTCCAACGTACATTTTCTTATAGGGACCGAGTTGACTTGGGACCGAGTTGACTCGGACGACTATGGGAGCTTTGTACAGTGGCTCTCTGGAACCAGCTTGAAGTTCATCTTAGAGAGTCTAGGAATTTGGAGAGTTTTAAGACCGGGCTGAAGACGCACCTTTTTAAACAAGCATTTTTAGTTTCTTAGTATAGATTTTGATTATGGTACATGTAGGTTATATTTATTCATTTATATTTTGATGTACAGCTCCTGGGAGCAGCTTGATGGATTGGGCACTTTATAAATGTCAATTATTATTATTATTCTCTTTTACAGTCTGTCTCTTATCTGTCGTCATCACAGCCCTACTTCAAGACATGTCTTAAATGCCTGAAATCCAAACTGTAGGATTGTCACAAACTTTGAATCTTAATACATGTATCTTCCGGAATGAGAATGACTCGACAATTTTACTTACACTGGCATATTCCTCAGAGTTTGGACTTTCATACGAGCATCCTAAAGCTTTTCAAAACCGTAAATTTTCTGATGTATGGCGCCTTGAAAAACCCGGCCAGTGGTATTATACGCTGTATGCTGCTTCTTGCATTTGGATTTCAAGGCACCCGACAGGTGCTCTGGTATAGGTTGTACCCTAGAAAACTGGTTCCTGTCACCTTGCGTGACAGAAAAACAAGGAACCAGTCTTAGCAGTGAACTTAAATTTTAATAACAATATGCATGTCACTGTACCATGCTCCAAACATGTGCTGTGGGCGTACAGTACAGTAGCAAAGTGTGCGTGCAACTTATTACTAAGTAATACTAAGTTAATATGAATTACCACTACGGCACCTGTCAGGCGTCTTGACTTCCAACGCCCAAAGCGCTGCCTTCTTTTTTTAAAATGGGGATACCCACGGTCAGCATACCGGTATAATACCACAGGCCGGGTTTTCAAGGCACCATACGGGTACATCGGAAAATTTATGGTTTTGGAAAGTTTCATGGTGCTCATGTGAAAGTCCGAACTAGTCTGAGGAATACACCAGTGTAAGTAAAATTGTCGAGCCATTCTCATTTCAGAAGATATCATTAGGATTCAACGTATGTGACAATCCTGCAGTTTGGATTTCAGGCATTAAAGTCATGCCTTGATGTTAAAGTACAGTGTAGGCTGTGGTGGCGACACAGAAGAGACAGATTGTAAAAGAGCCACTACAGCCTTAAGTGTGGGGGCCTGGGCTAGCTAGTGACATGATCAGGTCTAGGACCAAACCACAAACTAGCGACGACGCCAGACTATGCGTACGCCGCTCGTTTGTGCAACGATGACATAATTTTTGAACTATTTTTAGATCACGATTCGTAAATAACATCAATCTCTTTATCCGCCTGAAGATTCAAAACAAAATCCCCTGATCGATCAACTTTAAAGGAAACATGCTACCCAAGATCTAAATGAAATTTTCCTTTCATTTGGTATCTATAAAAGCGGATCGAGGAGATTTTTCGGTCAAATCTTGCACTGGAAGTGTCAAATTCGATGGGCAGGCGAGTCCAACTCTGCCGATGAAAACGTTTACGCGAAAAAAATGAAACTTTGCCGAAGTTTACTTTATGCATGAAAAAGTTCCCTTTATAATTAATCGTGGCAGATTTTATGTTTACCGTGGCGATTTTCCGAAATAGCGATCGAAAACAATTTTGCCATAGACTCCAACGGTAACGGCAAAGGTGGCCGTGTTGGCTGCTGGCATTTCAAATCTCGTTATTTTCCCAAAATCGCGTGGGGAAAAATACATCATTATCACGTGACGTGATGAAAATGACGCCATTGCCGCTTGAACTACCGACATAAGCAGAAACTAGGGACGTTGCTAAATTGTGGTTTGGGCCCCGACCTGATGATGTAGGCCCTATGCTGTGTGCAGTGATCATAAAAATCATATTTTATACAAATTTAATGAACCGCTGAAGCAGCAAATTAGCATGCCAAGGATCATATGCATGCTCCAAGCATGTCATAATAATGCACATGTAAATGTAAAGGCAAAATCACAAAAACGACGCAAAATCAGCTCTGCCAACACGGCCCAACCAACGCGGCCTACCTCGCATTCGTACAGCTGCCTGAGTTGACCGTCCATCCATTCCTCGATGTTGAGACGCATTCTCATCTGCTTTCTGTTGTATTTAGCTGTGACGTGAATATTCCTCTTCTGTTTCTTGTCGTCCGATACCTTGGCTTCCATGGATACCCTCCTTCCTTCAATGGGCTGGTGGGATTTGGCTGTTGGCGAGGTAGATTCTAAAGACCGAGAGGCCGTCGTCCGTGGTTCACCTGTTGTCGCCATTTTTATTGCATTATCCGCGTCCGATATGCGATCGAAAATACGGGACTCGACGACGCGATCGAGTGTGCATGCTGTAATCCGTTAGTGACCGTTTTCTAAATCTCGGCTTCGTTCCATTTATTGTGTCAATTTTTTACACTCCCAACTGTAAACCCTCTAGATCAATAAAACTCTCAAAAAGATAAAAATTTAAGATTTAAAAAATGCTATTTAACGGAACTATTTTATCTAATTCTTGTAGTATAGGCCTAGATGTGCTTGGTTTGAAGACAGTGGCAAAGCTTCCACCGAACGAAGCCGCGATTTGGAAACTCCATACGCAGTGAACCTCACGGTGGAGGCGCCCTGGCCCTAAGCGCTCGGCGCACGCATGCAACCACTCCAAGTAAACTCTGTACGGCGGGGGAGGGGGTTCGAGATTTAAATTTTCGAGGCAAAAATTCTGCTTTCGTTTTCCCAAATTCCCACTAACGTGTTGTTATGAATGAACTGAAATGAAAATGCAATGGATTTTAGGCCAGCAACAGCTTCATGGAACGGAACATTTGCAACGGAACATTTCATCTGTACCCTCATGGAATGAGAATTCCTTAGTTGTAACTTGAAAATGGTAACTTTTGATGTTTTCATTCAAATTTCTACCCGTTCAAAATATCGCTAAGTACATCCAGGGATAATGTGTTGTTATTTCCTTCATGGACTCTTTTCGGGGCTTGGTGGAGTGAAGCGGTGAAGGGGTGGGATGATTTTCTCGTAGACAGCCTGCATTGGAAGGAGGAAGTGGATGAAATTGTGGTGGTCTAGATCTGTTTGTGCTTATATTGCACATACGAAGGTATAATGTTTCTGTACGCTGCTTCAGTTACTGGGAAATATTTTTTTAGTGCTGTTAGTTTTTGTTCTTATGGAGTGTATACAAGTTCAATCTGCCTTTCAAACTGTCCTTTGTTCAGCGTCATTGGTGGACAGTTTCCTTTACAAGAAGGTCCCTTAATCAGTGCATGTATGTGTACATGGAGCAGATGGAGCGCTGTATTCGGTTGTGACCCCCCCCCTTAAGAAATAACCCAGCAGAGGCCAATTGGATGCAATTACTCGCACAGTGTTTCCGCCATTAACAGGGTGAAACAGCGATTAAATAATTGATTTAAAATCTCTGAGCCAGGGAATGTACAAGAATCCATGAAAATGAATTGGTTCACATTCGTGACTTAAATGCAGCCCCCCCCTTAAAAAAGTAAAAAAAAACAGCCCCAAAACAAAACACAACCAAAAACCCCAAATAAACTTAATTTACAGGTTAAACTTAAATGTCTTATAAAATGAAGCAACTCAATCACTTCCCTGTTTGGTTCTGACTAGTGGAATAGTGAATGAAATTTCATTATTATGCAAAATCTTCGTACACTTCTGAAACAGAAGTAAAGTTATACCAAACAGAGGCCACAAGCAATGACAAACAAAGACAGAGGAAGACATGAATTATTTATCTTCCTGTTTCTTTTTTTAATATTTTGTTGCAACAAAATGTGAAACTGAAAGCTATTCAGATTTCCAAGGAAATCAAACTATTGGAGTGAAAAGCCATGTTAATGACAGGGATATTATCTAACAGAAAAATGGATGGCTTAGGTTCCTTTTGCACATTATAACTTCCTCCTCAATTTACAAGTAAGTCTGCTGTTGTACTCAACATTAAAATACTTATGATCTGTAAACAGCTTACATTACTTGTAAACATGAGTCACCGGTAAATAAAGACTCAGATAAGCTTGATGACTTCCCAGTACTGCAAGTGAAAACTCAGTCAAACAGAAGACTTCAAAACAAAATATGCTGATGTATTTTGCAGCAGTAGGTGACACGTATGTATATTCTCACATTTGGTGGTTCTGATTGATTTTATGCATACAATACGGGCGATTACAATGCTGTGCTCCAATGCTGTGCTCCACCAAAAGGGTTGTCATGGAGAGGCCTCTTTTGCAGTGCCTTGTGGGGAAATGATTGATAAAAGTTCTTTGTGGCAGCTTTGCTGTGCGTGGGGAACTTGGACTGTTCCCCTGTTCTCTTTGTCTTGGTTCATCACTCGGACATGTTTAGAGTATCATTGTTAATTAATATAAAATGGTGTTTTATGTGAGGCATGGAATGCCCTGATCAATCAAACATTTCCTCAAATTGTTTACTGACATTTGCTCAAAATGCGAAGTGCAGCAACTCAGCCATCTAGCGAAATGGCCTTTCCATGAGAACCTCTTGGTGACGCACTGTACTGTGAGTTGCCCATATTAGGCCATGTCCAAATTACTTGGCTGTGGCTTGATATTGGTTGAGGCTGCGGCCACTCTCAATAGAGTTTAATATGTATAATTTCAAGTCACAGCCAAGTCATTAGGACATGGCTTTACACTGTCTGACAGATCCATGGACGCTGACCATGAGTCGTACCCTGACTCGGCTGTTGCATACCACCTGTCATATCACAGCAATTATACATGTGTAACTGCAAAGCAAAGCGTTGAATTGATCAAAAGAGGAAATACCATTCACATTGGATACAAATGACTCCCACAGGTTGATAAAAAGGAGTTTGATTTCAACTTTTGTTTTATCTTATTGCAAACTTTGCTGGCATACATTGTCCTTCCCCAAAATTGAGCTTTCTGGCCAAGAATAATCCATGCCTGGGGGGAGTTTGTTGTAAACTAACACCCCTTTTAAGTGGTTAATGATCTCTGTGCACATATACTCACATTGTTTGAGACTTGTGAATATAACAAACCTGGAAGGACTTTGTGTGGAGTATACGGTGAGCAAAAAACACATTAAAGACTCCAGGTATTAAGACAAGACTGCACTTTTTGAGTCACCTCTAACAACCTGTTGCAAACGAGAGCGTGTACCTCTATTTTGACGATACAAATTTTGTGTACATTAACAAGCAAAAACATACCTCTCTATAGTTCCTCAATTTTCATGAACTGCTATTAATGTTAAGCATTCTTTTATGGCTGTCATGTACCAACCATTAGTCATTAAACTGAATTGAAGGGGTTTTAGGGTTTACAGGTAGAGCCCTTCTGGTGTGCCTTCATTTTTGCGGTATAAGACGTTCTCTTTGGACTTCCGGAAGTCTTCGTTGGTGACCTTCATGCGTCTTTCTCTTAGAGCCATGAGTCCAGCCTCTGTGCAAATGGCCTGATGAAAAAACCAAGTAAAATTACTGGTGCTTGTCCTGGTGGGTCTTTAATTATGTCAATCGTTGTTAGGGAGTTAACAACTTGAGTAGGCCAGATTTTACAGTCAGTGGACAGCAGGCTTTGTGATGAGAGATGCAAAATTGACTGTGCAATTCCCAATAAGCAAGTTTCAGTAGGTTTATTATGAGTGATTGTCAATACAATTTGCCCCTTTTTCATAACGGCCAACACTGCAAAGCAGAAATCGGAATACCCATTTTACAACCCATAGCAATACAAGCAGCTCTGCAAGAGAAGCTCATGCATGTGTATTATAAATGTTATATTAACATAGCACAGAGCGCCTTCCTCTTTCTTTTGCCAGGATTTTTGATTTTTTTTTCCTTTTTATGGAAATCAGAATGTTACAATTTCTTCTGGTCTGGAAACCTTAACCCTAACACTCCTCAGTCCTCCAACAGGTGAAGGATTGAGGAGGGTTAGGGTTAAAAATTGGGACAGTTCCGATTAGATGGAAACTGTTGGCAGGTCTGGTGGTTCGTCTCAAAGGGGCCCACATTCCAAAGGTTTGTGGTCATCACCTTGCAAACATTTCTCTGCACTTACCAATCCTTCTTCTACACATGTTACACTACACTTTACACAAATGCCTTTGGAAGCCTCTCGAACTCATTACATGGAGAAAGTTCCAACTTCTACCAAAAACATACTTGAAAGTTTTAAACTGGTTCCTAGTTCTTGTTGAGATGCGAATTTCACTCCTGTAAAAATCTTTTTAAGAGTGCTCTTTTTCAGAGGAGCCCACTGAGTCACACTGTTGCCAGTGGATTGAAACCAAAGTACCCAGTGATGGCGTATAGATGTATGTAACAGCTACATCTGAGAACCCACCTTGATGTCTGCCCCGGACAGGTCATCCTTAGCCATAATGTACTCATCTAGATTCACATCTTCAGACAGTGTCATGCGGCTGGTGTGGATGTTGAATATGCGACGTTTTGTCTTCTCATCTGGCAGAGGGAACTCAATCTTCCGATCAATACGACCTGCAAGAGACAGAAAACAACTCAGAAATTTCTGTAAAAGAATTGCTGCACCTGAAGGACAGTTGATTCCATGATTTTTTGATGACCAAATTATAAAAATTTATGACCCAATAATGCAGTTTCTTGGACTCTTCAGACTTTTAAAAGTTGCGAATAAAATCATGCATTTTATGCACTTATTTCTGATAACAGAAATCACACACAGTGTTTGAAAAATTCCATGACTTTAGTCATTTTCATAAAGTTCCATGACTTTTCCAGACCTGGAAAACGAAAACAAATTGCCATGATTTTTTCATGAGTTTTCCAGGCCGCGGGAATCCTTTGTAAGTACTTGGGCATTTAAAAAACATTCAGAGCATGGGATAGTCCCATGCATGGAGACTGGAGGTAGTATTTGTGTGCCAACATTGCCAAAGCAACAAATGAAGAGATAATGGGAATAATGATATTACACAAATAATCCATGTTTCATATTCATGTGATGGAATTCATGCAATTATTCTTCCCATCGTAGCAACATGACACAGTCACTGTTAATTTTATACAACACTTGTATAAATCCTCGTCATCTGATTATCTGTCAATTAGAATCGCCAACGTTGGATGTAAGTCCGCCATGTTGCTGTGAATATTTTGCGCCACAGCTCCACCATGCAGAAGCTGCAGCGCAATCGATCCGGAGGTGTTTGTTATCCAATGCATAGTTGATATAATTTTTTTTGCACTCTGCACGTGCGTCGTGCACACGCGTCATGATCCAGCTGTGTGTTGGTACAAATAATTCAATGGCAAGTGATCAACGATCTACCAATCAAATGACAGGAATTTATGCAGATGTTGTATAATAAATAATGATAATGTAAATGTCACTCAGGATTTTCCTGTAAAAAAAATGACACCATATGTATGAAGTGTTGCAAAACAAATACAGCATGATTTACTTCGGGCAGACAGTCAAATTCTCCTCTGTACAAAAGTTGACAGACTAGTTCCTGAGACAAAGTTTGCTGACTTCCAGTACCTCAGGGTGCTAAAATGACTATACACCTTCAAACCATGTTCCATTTGCTTAACACCCCCCTTGGCAAAATTGTCTTTGCCTATCATGCCTCCTTCAAGTATAAAAACAAAGCCACCTGTCAAATCACAGCAGTCACCAATTTTTCATTATCCCTGATCCTGCCAGATGCAGCACAGTGCAACAGGTGTATAAGTCTGTTTGGCCTTGGGGAGAGTTGACCGGTTGGATCTTGTTACACTGGACAGGCAAGCCACTTTGACAAAAGATACTGACTGATGTGTCTGGCAGGGTTTTCTAGCCAAAGTACCCTGGAGGGTTAGGGTTAAAATATACCGTAAGTCTTCTTCACCTGGTCTGATGAGTGCAGGGTCCAGTGTTTCGATGCGGTTGGTCGCCATGATGACTTTGACATCCCCTCGCGAGTCAAACCCATCCAACTGATTCAGAAGCTCAAGCATGGTGCGCTGGATCTCACGCTCACCTCCTGAGTTAGACTCGTACCTTAAAACAGGAAGAGACAAAGGCAGACGTATTTTCAGTGTTCCCCTTGGTAAATCTAAACTGAATTGCCTTGAAATACACCTGTCAGAAATCAATACTTCTGATCAACCGTCATAATCATTTCTCTTTACAAAGTAGCTAGTACTAAAAACCATTTTCTTGTCAATCTGAAAATCACCTGGCCTATGCACAAAGAAGGTGGTTTGAACTTCATTGTAAAAATCAATGTTTGAACTGGTTTTTCATAATGTGAGTCACTTTATCCTACAGATATCTATGCGCTGGATAGTCAACGTCTACAAAATGCATCTCAGTAAGGATCCGGTATCAAGAATGTCACATATACAACAGGTTTGGATGCTTTGCATGTGATGTCAAGAATCAACTCTTGTCTTTGTTCGCAACCACACCATACATTCCTTGTTCACCTGTGGGTTCTTAGCTCAGGAATTATTATCATACTATTTACAAGTCACATCACAAGCCAAATCACAAATCTGAACAATGCAGAAATGACCGTCTTCTGTCCCAGTTCCAGTGAATGTTTTTTTTCAGAGATTTTAAGACCAGATGAATTGAGACTAGCTACTGATGACCTTACAATTCCTCCCATAGCATGACTGTGTCCATCTTACACTATTCCTACATAACTGCTACCCACCTTTTAGTTCCGATGGCATCAATTTCGTCAATGAAGACGATGGATGGTGCATGCTCCTCGGCTACCCTGAATAACTCTCTGACCAATTTAGGGCCATCCCCCTACATGTTCAGGGTCAAAAATTAAATGCGGTTAAAGAAAATCACTATGCAGGGCTTGCTAGCATTTAAGCCACACTGAGCTATCTAATCTAATGGTCGGTGTCTCCAAATTTGTAATCGTCTTGTATGGGAGTCAGACGTCATTAAACCACATATGCCACTCCAGTAAGGGGTCAGTCATGTCTGAAGTCACAATGCTAGCAGCATCAACAAGCAGAAGATAGGGCAGGTGATTCTTGTACAAAACCGCAATGAGAAAACTAAATGGGTTACTGACTTTAATCTACATGATGCTTTGTATAAAAGCAGAGAAACCAAACTAACAATCTCGAAGACCCATTAACAGCAAATCGGTGCTGACAGTGCATGACCGAAGCAGCCTGGTTTCAAGTTCATGTTCATTTTACAATGCATAAAACCTGTGCGACTACTGCATTAGAACAGCATGACTCAATGCTACTCAGTGGCTCATGACTGCTCAATTCCCAGGCTCGCTCAGTTGAAATTTGAATCCATCTTATTTTACTCAGGCTGGAGAAAATGGACCAACTAACATGCATCGGATGAGCAGCCCCAAGCGGTACTTACAAGGTATTTCTGAATCAGCTCCGACCCGACCACTCTGAGGAAGGTTGCCGACGTCTGATTGGCTACTGCTTTGGCCAGCAAAGTCTTGCCTGAAATCAAAGTGAAAGTTACATCCAGGATAAGTGAATAGAAGAAAAAGACCATACTGCTTGTGACTATGTTTTTGAGCACGAGAGGAGGCTCTTTTTTCCAAGCATGTACCTCCCCTGGGGTGCCAGTAATATGACTGGACAGACCTCCTGGTGAACATCAACAAGGCAAATACTGCAATGCTGTGTTTAGCAAGCTGCTTGTTAAAAAGAGGAGTTTAAAGCACTGTGCACAACCTAACGTTTGTCTTCAAAAAAGCCGACTTTCAGCAGCACAGTTGACACTATGTAGTGTCCCTCAGCAATCACCCATTTCTTATTGTTTACATACTGTGTCCCACAAAGACCAATATACTTTGAACATTTACAAATAAATTTGTCATCTTTCACACAAGATAATTATCCAGTGAAGACATCTGTTTGTTTTGAGAGAAATACTCCTATTTTTTGAGCTGTACAGACTATTTCAAGCTGGATTTTTTGTACGGTTTCCTTTAATTTCCTCTTCCTTTTTTGATGAATAACCCTAGTCCCCAAAATGCCTCTAAACCTCTTTTTCAGAGAAGGGGAAATGTACTGTGGACATGAGCAAGTCCACGGAACGTGTTCCCTTCCTGCTTTGTATGAATATCTTTTATCCTGAGTCCACACTAGGTATGTTAGGTTAACACACACTCACAAACATGTACGTGTTTCACATGCCTAGTGTAGATATACCTTTCAGGGATTGGAATTGGGCTAACTATCACGGAAGCAAGTACTTGCTCCCTAGGCAACTGAATTTGTCAGTTTACGGGAGGAAGTAGCTTCCATACACCATTTATGTTCTAGAGGCCAAACTTAAGGCCAACTAAAATACTAGTTGTGCTTCCTATTACCATGATTACATTGAAAAAAAATAGGTTGGGTAGTATCTTTTTTTTTCTTCTAAAGTTTCTGGGTCAAAAATTTTAGCGTGGGGAATTTCATTTTTTTTAAAAAAAAAAGTGATCTTGATGGTCTACGGTATACTCCATCCACTGTTTTTGCATGGATTCGTAACTTGAAGATCGGTCTTTTCAAAGACAGTATCCAAGTCAGCGCCTGTTCGGCACATTATACATTTGTGTTGCACTGACATTTCGATAAGTTAATGTCCAAAATTTGTTTGAACGTCGTACAAAACGATGCCCAAAGAGCACTTCAAACCCATGCGATGATGCATGACACTGTAACTTTGCACACCCTGCGCCATTGTCACAAAACCCTCTGTCAGCAAAAGCCAAAATGTACAATCCTTATGTCAAGCCGTAAATTCACAGTGAAATGTGCGCTACCGTGAGTTACAGTGGAGATTGTTAGTCATTACTTTTGCTCACGCAGGAATGACTGTAATAAGTCCCACTGACAATTGTATGAATATTGATGTTTCATTGGCAGCCAAGCACAACACAATGACCGGCTGATCCCAGGATGCACAAGGCTTGCGCTTCGAGCTGTCCAGTTGCATAGCAGATACGTATCACTGTACGCACGTACTGTACATTGACTTGTACATGTGCATGTACAATCTACTAATAAATTCAGCCGCGTGCATTACGGAGGTCCAGTACTGTTTTGGTGTCCTGGCTTGCAAAGCGCGCTGTGCATGTGCGGATGCGTGCAAGTCTGCTGCACTCGGTGACATTGTAAAAAAATTGTAGTCGTGTTGTGGTTCCATGACAGGGGCGATCTGAAGTAAAAAAAGCTCAGGTGTATTTCATGGCAAGACTAGAAACAAACAGCTGTTCATACTTGAGCCTTTCTTGATAATTTAGGGGTGCATTTATGAGACAAACAGGCGCTTTTTAGCTACTTGCGCCCGTTAATTTCGAGCCATGCTTTAATTATCCTGTGGTTATGAAGAAACTCTGGGAAATTGCTCGTTTTACTCCTCCGAAGACAACTTGTTCATGCTTTACTTTTGATGATGATTTCCAGGACTGTGCCTCTTCATTTTTCCACGAATAACTCAAAATGCCTCTGAAATACACTCCGTGGACGTGTGCAAGTCCACACAACATCTTCTAACCCTACATTATGTGGACTTCTTTTGTGTGGAGGTCAACACTATGTATGCCACTCCTGCACACTCACATAAATCCACAAATGTCCACACCACTTGAGTCCTCATGGCAAAAGAATGTCAGCTGGTCACAGATGTTACCCTTCTCACACAAAGCACCATCAAACAGGTCATCAAACTTTCCAAAAACCCTAGGGCAATCCCGTTACATCTGAGAGCCAACCTACCCGTTCCAGGTGCACCGTACAGAATGACTCCTTTTGGTGGTTTGATGCCCATTTCCTCGTAGTATTCTGGGTGAGTCAAAGGTAACTCAACAGATTCCTGCAACCAGTGTAACACTACATTTAAATACAGGGTACCGGGTAATATTTAACGGTATTTGTAAAAGTACTGCACAATCAAAATCAGATGAATTAAGCCTTCATACATCATTTAAGCTACCCCAACATTCAAGTATTAGCAATACTGTACTGACTACAAACATCAAGACTGTTGTGTTCCAACCAAAGATCATATAGCGCCAAAGGCGCAAGATGGATAACTCTGCCCAAAAGATGTAATTACCATGGGCGCCATTTGAGCAAGCGATGCACCTGCGCAGTTTACGGTAATGCTTAGGCACGGGCTCACCAGGTGCACGTGCCTGCCGAGGCACCTGCACTTTTGCATTAATGTGCATTGGGTAGGCGTATCGCTTGCTCAAATGGCACCCATGCAATTACATTGTTTTATGTGTATTCACTGTGAAGTTCGCCATCTTGCACCGCTTTGTGGCACTATACGATCTTTGGTTACAACTGTGCACACTTTAATAAATGTTTCTTTGTAAATACTGTTGTATAATATTTCTTTGTAAGTAGATATTTGCAGACTAATGATAAAAAACAAAAGTCAACCAATTTGAAGCTTCCAAATAGTGAATGCATATATTTTGAATTTCTATTCTTAAAACTAAAGTTTACATTTGAAGTTGTTGTGGTGACAAACCTTGATTTCTTGAATTTGTTGATCTAGGCCTCCGATGTCGGCATAGGATTCTTGGGGAGCTTTCTCCAGTTTCATGACTGACACCATGGGATCGGTGTCATCACTCAGCACCCCAACTATGGCCAGGACCTGAAAGTGTAGAGAGAATGACAGCCAAACTGTTGGTTGGAAAGGTCAATTAGTTTTTGGAATAAGTTTTGTCATAGTTAAAGTCACGCCACTAGGATTGCATCATTGTTGGCAGTTGAAGTCGTTTTAACCACTTGCTGCCTGGTGGTAATCTGCTCGCGCTAAATCCCCAAAACCGTGGTGTACTGTTTCAAAACAAGGCTGGATTATCTCCACTATTGAGAGTGAAAAAATGTTGGTAATGCCCAGCAGCCTGGTCTTTTGTTCCGAGTACGGTCTTTTATTACAAGACCCAGTTTCCTTTTGTCCAATTTCAGAGACTCCGGCCATGCGTATAAAGCATACGTGTCCGTTACCGGAAACCCCGGCGGCAAGTGGTTAATAAGACCTACTGGCTTGGTTACATTCCATTGATCCTCGAGCAGGATTTTTCAAGGTAAAAAAACTCAGTAACTCCTAACATGTTTAGGAAACTGGAAATGGGAATAGAACATGTTAGCCCTAACTGAAATATGACGAATAGAATAAGTGATTTTGGACAATAAAAATGAACACTTTAGTGTCGCTTGCCAACGCTTCAGCAATGGTTAATATTATTCACATGAGTGGAATGCACTGCCAAATGTTAGTTGAACACTTTCTTTCTCACAAGTGCAAGGGTTACCGGAATGGAGAACGTACACAATGCTTGATAAAGTGACAGATACCACCTACCTCTTTGATGCAAAAATTTAATGGCACAAAGAAATGAACACCACCAATGATCTGATCACGGACCCACCTTGTGATTCAGCAACACTGTGCAGCCCGGCTCCAGCTGGTCCTTGTCCACAAAGGACAGGATGCTGACGTAGTACTCCGAGCCCACTGAGGCAGAGACAATGGCATGGTTGTCATCGATGATCTCCTCCAGGTTGCCCACTGACATGGGGGTACCTCTCAGATCATCCACCTTGGAACGCTCCTCCTAGATGGATGACGGGATTATGGGAAAATGACAGGAATGATGAGATGGAGGCAACATGTACCTGTAAATCCCCAGCCAAAATTGAAAATTCATGAAATATCACAAGCAGTGCAGGGTCTATGGTGTAACATCTGCGTTGCCTGAAGGCATCCCTTGACATACCCATTTCTTGTGTTCCTTACCAACTTTTACATGTAAACAGTTCAAATTGGTAAACTCTGGGCATTCCTGATTTCAAAACAGATTGTTTGAAACACCCTTTAATTAGTAAAAACCTGAAAACAAAAGTCCTGAAATCAGTAAATATCCTGATAAATTGTTGATGGTGAGAGTGATGCACTCAGGGACTGATGTTAATGTAGCCCACTCAAATAGATTTCCTTGGATGATGTTTGAGGTGTAGCTGAATATGCCTTTTCAAAACATTGTTTCTGTACCTCGTCTTTTTCCTCCTGTGGTTTGAGTCTTTCCTGGTTGCGGATGAACTCCTCTTCCATCAAGAGGTAGTCTTTGATGCGCTCCAGCTTCAAGAGCCTCAGCCGACAGCGAGTGTGTGGGGTGACTGTGGAAGGACAGGGGGACAGATGATCTCAACTGTTCTGGTGCAGAAATTGGTTATTCTGTGGAGGTGGAGGCATTTTCAGAGCACAGGAATGCGGGGAGCTTCAATTACACTGCTTTCAATGAAACTGCTTTCCCCTGGCATTTCATTTTCTACCATGTGTTCCTGTCATTCATGCATTAACCCTGTTATTCCGACTCTCCTAAACATCTTGACGTGTCGCCAATACCACTTCGCTCAACGAGGTAGGACCTGAGCTTTGAAGCCTCTCAAGGTGAAGGTGACGAATGAAATCAAAGGATTTGAGGTAGCACCATGCAGATAAAAA